AACCTTATTTAGTTTGAAGTCTATTTTATCTGATATAAGGATAGCTGTTCCTGCTTTTTTTTTTTGGTTCATTTGCTTGTAGGATTGTTTTCCATCCTTTTATTTTCAGTCTGTTTTTATCTTTTGTAGTTAGATGTTTCCTATAGGCAGCAGAACGTTGGGTTCTGTTTTTTTATCCATCCTGCAACTCTGAGTCTTTTTTTTTTTTAAAGATTTATTTATTTATTCATACAGAACTGGGGTACAGGCCAGAGATGCGGAGGGTGAGAGGCTTCACCAGAGACAGAGTGGGGAGCAGAACAGGCAGATCGACGAAGCACACTGCTGAGGGGAGCAGCGGGCGGTCAGGAGAGGTCTGCCACGCCATGTGGTCACCTCCGGGGCAGGCGGGGATCGAACTCATGTGGAATTGGCTTAAGCTTCTTAGTGCAGTGCTTTAACCCGCTGCGCCACCAGGGAGGGCCCAGTCTCTGAGTCTTTTTATTGATGAGTTTAAGCCATTTGCATTTAGAGATAATATTGATATACTGGCACCTACATTTGCCATTTTGGTCCTTTCATATTTTATTCCTTGTTTTGAACTGTTGTTGTTCATTCTTCTGTTGGGTTTGGCTTGAGGGCTTCTTGTATTTTTTGGTGTGGGGGTTTAGTCATGACAAAATTGTGGAGTTTCTGTATGTCTGAAAATGTCCTTAGTCTTTCTTCATAGAGGAAGGAGAGCTTTGTAGGATAGAATATTCTTGGTTGGCATTCAATGCTTTGGAGTTTTTTGAGTATGTCCCTCCACTCTCTTCTTGCCCATAGTGTTTCTTCAGAGAAGTCTGATGTTAGCCTGATCGGTTTCCCTTTATAGGTTATTTGTTTCTTCCCTCTTGTCATTCTCATTATCCTTTCCTTGTCATGTATTCTAGGTAGCTTTACTATGATGTGTCTTGCTGTATTATTTTTTTGTCATCTTCTTGCTTCTTGGATGTCTAATTTCATCTCCTTTGTATTAGGGAAGTTCTCTTCTGTTATCTCTTTGAATATTTTCTCGATTCCTTGGCCTTTCTCTTCACCTTCTGGGATACCTATAACTCTGATATTTCCTTTCCTAATGGTGTCAGATAGCTTGAAGTGTTTCTTCCTTCCATTTCTCTTACTTCTCTTTCTATTTCTGTTTTCATTCTCTTTATTTATGAGTCTTCGAGGGTGCTGATTCGTTCTTCCATTTCATCTATTCTGTTTTCATTACCTTTCCCAGCATTCTTTATCTACTCTAGTGACTTTTTCATCACCTGCGTTTCTTCTATTTCCTTATTTAATGTCTCATTTACTTTCTTTAGTTCATTGATTGCTTGTCTCATATCTTTTGTTTCTTTTTCATTTCTTTCATTATTTCCTTGTTTGCATTCTTTAATTCCTTGATGGCTTGCCTCATATCATTTTTGTCCTTCTCATCTTCTTTTTATTTGTTTATCATGATGTTACTGAATTCTCTTTCTGGTTGGCTGAGCAGTTCTTCTATTTCTTTGGTGCTTTCTGGTGAGTGATCTTTTTTGTGGTGAATTTCCCCCCTGTGGTCTTGCTTGGATACTTGTTTGTCTTCTTTTCCCTGTCATGTATTTTCTAATACTTTCTATTCACTGAGACACAGCGCTGCTATTATTGACCGGCATTCTTTCTAGGTGTTCTTTCTAGGGTGGCTGAGGGACTTCCAGACACTTCAGTTGTGGAGGATATTCTTAGTTGTGCTTTGTTTCAATATATCCTGCTTTTACAGCCCCCACTTTGTGGATTTGTATCTGTCCTCTCAGCCAGTAACAGTCAGGGGTCTCTTGTGGTGTTTTAATTTCTTCTAGTAATACCTTGAGTCTCTTGTCTCTGGAAGATGCCTGCTGCTTTTGTAGCCTCTGATGTCCCGCGTTCCCTCTATGCTTAGTTGTCTCTGTGGGGTGTGGGGCGCATTAGAAGTGTTGTAGGTCTCCCTACAGCTGGGCCTGTGATTGAGTTGATCACTGGTTTTGTTTACTTTCTGGTTACTGTGAACCTTTCTGGCTCATAAGTCTTCAGTCCTCTGTGAGTTAAGTTGTCCCTCCTTATCTCCAGGGCAGGCTGAAGTGAAGCAAGCCTCCTTCTAAGCCACTTCATAGTGCCTGGGCATGAGGACACTCTGGGTCCTAGCACCTGGGCAATCCTGGATCTGGCTGCAGCCTTTCCCTGCTGTTTGGATTCTACTCACCCACATGTGCTGTCTCTCCTTATCTCCAGGGCAGGCTGAGGGGGGAAGGGAAGCAAGTCTCCTTCTAGCACCTGAGCACCTGTGCATGATCCCAGGTCCTAGCACCTTGTCACCTGAGTAATCTGGGCTTGGGGCTGTAGCCTTTCATTGCAGCTGATATTACAATCACCTCTCTGCACTGTCTCTCCTTATCTCCAGAGTTGGCTGAGGGGGGGAAGGGAAGCAAGTTTCCTTCTAGTGACTGGGCACCTGGGCAAGCTCCTGGGTCCTAGCAACTGGGTGCCAGGAGATCTGGTTTCAGGGCAGCAGCCTTTCACTGAGGCTTGAATTCCACTCACCCAGCTCACTGTCTCTCCTTATCTCCAGGAGGGGATGAGAGGAAGGGAATCAGGTCTCCTTCTGGCAGTTGGGCACTCCTGGATCGAATTGGAGTTCCCCAATTGGAACTCCCCAAAGGCCAATTTTCCCTCAATTATCTTCCTTCTAGTGACTGTTCTCATTTGGGCTGAAAGTATGTTAAGTCCACAGACTGTATTCAGTTCTATAATCCTATGTAAGTTTGAAGGTAGTGATTATGGTGTCTTCACACTAACGCCATCTTGCCAGAGCCCCTAGTTTCATTTTTTGCATGCAGCTATCCAGTTTTTCCAAAACCAATTATGAAAGAGGCTACCTTTGGTCCAGTGTATGACGTTGGTTCCTCTGTCATGGATTAGCTGCCCATATATAGGCATTTATGGACCTCAATTCTATTCTACTGGGCTGTGTGTCTGTTTTGTTCCAATTCCAGGCTGTTTTAATCATTGTGGCTTTATAATATAGCTAGAGGTCTGGAAGTATGGTAGTTCCATTCTCTTTTTTCTTCGTTAAGATTGCTCTTGTTATTCAGGGTCTTTTGATCCCATATGAATTTCAGTAGTACTTAGTCCAGTTCATTGACATATGCCATTGATATTTTTATTGGGATTGCAGTGACTATGTATATATTTTTTGGGGGGTATGAAGACCATTTTGACAATGTTGATTCTTCTAATCCATAAACAGGAAGTTATTTGTGTCTTTTCTATTTCTTTCACAGATGTCATGTGGTTGTTTGTATAAATATTTTGCATCCTTTGTTAAGTTTACTCCTAGGTATTTAATTTCTTTTTGGTGTAATTATAAATGGGATCACTTTCTTAATTTCTTCTTCTTCCATCACATTATTTGTGTATAAGAAGACAACTGATTTATTTGTGTTGATTTTTTGTCCTACCACATTAATAAAGCAATTGTTTTAATTTGTTTTCTGTGAAATCTTGAGTGTTCTTATTATCATGCCATCTGCAAATAATAATAGCTTTACTTCTTCTTTTCACATTTGCATTTCTTTTAATATGTTTTTCACTTTTCTAATTGCTCTAAATAGAAAGTCCAATATTATTTTCAATAGCAATAGTGAGAGTGGTCATCCTCATCTTGTATACATCTTAGTGGGAAAAATTTGCATTTTTCACCACTAAGAATGATTTCAGCTATGACTGTGCTGTAAAATGGCTTTTATTATGTTGAGTTATATTTTATCCCCAGTTTGGGAGGGTTTTCAACCTAAATGGATGTTGGAGCTTATCAAATGCTTTCTCAGCATCTATTGATATAATTATGTTTTGTATCTTTCTTTTTCTTGATGTGATGAATTTTGTGATTGATTTTTGGATGTTGAATCATCCTTATTATTCCTTGTATGAATCCCACTTGGACATGGTATATGTTTTTTTTTTTTTTTAATGTAGTGTTGGATTGTGTTCGCTAGGATTTTCTTCAAGATTTTTGTATCTATGTTCATTAGAGAGATTGGTCTGTAATTTTTTATGTGTTGTTTTTGTTTGGTTTTGATATTAAAGTAATGCTGGCCTCATAAAATGTATTCCTTCTTTTTTAATTTCTTGGGAGAATTTAAGTAAATCATCTGGTCCTGGACTTTTGTTTTTTGGGAGAGTTTTATTAGTTTTTTGTTTGCTTGTTTGGCTTGGGTATTTGTTTGTTTTGTTTTGTCAGACATCAGTCACATTACAATGCAGACCAGATGGTGACCCTTATTCTACTAGAAGGTCCTGATGTCTACTTCTCAACTGCCTCTCCCAGAAGTACAAAGTCAATAGAACTTGTGATACAAGTTCTGTATCACAAACAGAACTTGAACATCTGTACTCTTTTATCATCCCCACAGCCTGTCCTCTGGCTGTTCACCCAATCTAATCTTCAAGCTCCTTGGGTCTGCAGAGCACACTCCACTTGTCACCTAGAAACAGAGGTCTGCGTCATCCTTTGGGGACTAACCTGCATAGCTTTGTATGATCATAAAGAGGATCAAAGATATCAATTGCTTTCAGTGGCACTGTTGGTTCTTGGCCAGGGTATATACTAAAGCACTCAAGGGACTTATACAAAGATAGATATCGTGGCCTCACCTCCTAGATTTTATGTTTAACTTGTCTAAAAGGGACTTTAATATCAATGCTTTTTAAGTCTATAGGTGAGTCTAAAATAAAGGCAGGATTGAAAATCACTGAGTTTGAAGATTTATTCAATCCTCACAAACACCTATCAGGTCTTTGGGAAGGGTAGGTATCTGATTTCCTTACCTACATGTAGGGATAGAGACAGAGCACTCATTTATATCTCTTGCTCACTGTTCCATGCTTGTAACTAGTTACAGAATTTCTCTCCCCCTAGGTGCCTCCCACTGCACATGTTGGGGCCTAAACAGGGTCTTCCAGAAGTCAGACAGCTCCTGCATCTGCCTGGCAGGACATGAGCCCTATGACAAGAGGGGTTTGGAAAATGATGAGAGCAACAGTGATGAGGACTGCCAACCCCAGGTAAGATACACAGCCTAGGAAGAGAAGATTCAAGGGCATTGAGAAGTGTTGGCAGTCGTGTAACCCCTCTGCATACTAAGCACTTCCATTGACTACTGGGTTAATGTTAATTCCCTGTGCTGGCTGAATTACCTCCTATACAAAGGAGGAGACCAACGAGCTTATAGTATGACCATACACATGTCTTTCCTTATCATAAAACCATGTATAACATCTTAGAGTAATATGATGGTTCCACCTACTTCCTGCTGAATGTGATGTTCTCCTCTCATTGAAGAAAAGTTTTGGGTAGCTGCAGAGTCTTTTTGAAGCTACAGGAGAGTATCAGACAGAGTCACTGCTGGAGGTCAGGGGAGAGAAATTCATTTCCCTCTCTGAAGGGAGGCAAAGCAACAAGCTGCAGACTCAGGAAGGGCCAACTACTGGGTGCACTAGGGGCCAGGAGGTCAGGTGTCCCATAGGGTTCCCTGCCTAAGATTGTGGCCCTGGTGGCAGCAAGATTCAGCTACTCTCCCTTCATGCCCAGTTCTGGAGGCTCTGGATCAAAGCCTTTTGTAAAAGCAGCTATAATGTACAAAAGTCCTCTGTGCTATCCACAGCCAACTGTTCTCCCCACGCTCTGTTCCACAGCCCCTGCCTATCAGAAGCCTCCTCTTTGTGTCAATTATTTATCTGAATCTCAAGTTTCAGCCAGAGAGACCAGGTCTCTTTGTCAGTTTGTCCACCAAGTCCAAATGGGGAATGAACTTTAGAATTCAATCCAAAACTCTAAAGAATAGTAGATTTCTTTCCATCCCCATAAAACATCTCTGGTTTATAGTTGTTCATTGTTTTCATCTTTACCCTATTACATTTGTTTCTCTTTCCCTTCCCGCACCCGCCCCCATCCCTTACACTCCTGCTATGAGTGAAAGCATCCAGCATTTTTCTTTTTCTTTCTGGCTTATCACTAAGCAGATCTTTTCCAGTTCCATCCAAGTTGCTGCAAAAGACATGTGTTTCTCTTTTTTTGGTTGCTGAGTAATATTCCATTGTATATATGTACCACATTTTTTTTATCCAGT